TATATATATATATATATATATATATATATAACTCACTAATCGTAGCTCCTTGTATGGCTGTTTAGTCAGCACAAGAGGTGGGACCCAAACAATGTATTAACCACCTAATCATAGAGATCGTACCAAACCCACTTATATCGTAAAATATTTCTTTGAGCTCAACTTACTATAAAGTCTACTAATTTACTATTACTTAGCCTAACTTATTATAAAGCTCACTAATTTATTATTATTAAGTTATTGTTCACTCGTGACTCCACTTTTCATCTCAGTCCTAATTTAAGCGTCAAAAAGATTCGATTGGACACCCGATCGGATTTTGGTCTCGTTCGTGTTTAGCACCTCAATAGACACTCGCGGCCACCCTCTTGGTTATTTTAGGATCATAGCACATGTGGATATCATCGACATCCACATCACCACACACAAAGATTTGAGAGCTTATGCATGCTTAACTTTTAATTTGTTCTTTTCGATTTCATAGTCGACAAATCTTAATGATCGAAAACATCGAGACCAGTCGCTAACAAACTCCAATGAAGAATTAGCAAGAGAAGAGAAGATAAAAGCGATCAAATTACAGAATATTTGAAGGGTCTCTCCATCCAAACAATTGCACTGCTACGAGCGAAGAAGCTCAATGGACGAGGTAGGTAACGAAGAGCGCGAGAAGCATCAAGACATAAGCAATTCCTTGATCGATGGCCTTCCCTGCACCACATGCACCGACGACGACAACAATTACTCCACCATCGACAGCGACAAGAGAGAAAAGAGAGCGTTTGCACTCACCATCAAACTTCCTTGAGCTGGTCATCGTCGAGGTTGCGATGTCTTGGCAAAGACAAGGGTGCAAGAGAACCGCGAGCAAAGCGTAAGCAAAGAGGAGAGCGTGAATCTTCAGTGAAGCCATCGCGTCTATCTGCCTGCAGGAAGTGAGGAGAAAGGTTGGACTCGAGATGAAGAGGCCTCCGGCGTCGTACGGAGTATTTATAGGCCATCGTCTACATCGATAGGTTTGACTCGTGGTGGTATATATTTAGCGGACGTACAGCATACGTTGAGGTCTTCGGCAGTTGGAAGGTATTGATGTGGGCGGCTCGAGTCATTAATGGCAGAGAAGGAGAAGCCATTGGAGGAAGCGATCGGCCATTTCTGACGGAGTCGTAGGTTTGATCCATGAAATTTCATGAATATTTATTATGACTGGTCAATTACGTCTTCGTTTACTACTCGTGAAATCAATCGAGTTCTTCCATAAAATAAAATGATGCACATGTGACGTCTCTGAATAGATTTTATGACACTAACGACTCTCCAAGGGAATAAGCTTTGGTTGTACCATACGTTAGCTTAAGTCATGATCTTAGAGAACACAATATTTGATTTCTAAGTCAAAATTGGTTGTTCCATTGAAGTGTTGACTTCGAACCTATGGATGCTCTTTTTCATATAATGTGGTTTTAGGACCGTTACACTTGTAAATATGCATTGATGTCATGCATCGTCGACTTTGGTGGAGTCACATTACGTCGAATCCATGGGGTGTGTGGCGTGCAACGGTGACTTTGGTGGAGTCACATTACGTCGAATCCATGGGGTGTGTGGCGTGCAACGGTCATAATGTGATCGGTAATATTTGAGACACAATGGCACATCAATCATATATGATCAAAATATCAAAGACGATATCATTATTTTTTGCTACATTATTATTTTCATAGTGTGGCTTTAGGATTATTACACATATATATTGATGTCACGCATCTTTAGCCTTGGTAGAGTTATAATACGCCGACTCACGAGGCATGCGATATGAGATCAAAGACGTAATGTTGAGGTATCGATCACATAACACTAAAATCGACTAATAACTTGACACGAAGCAATTGGGTTTGCAGTAGCCGTTGAGCTTTAATAACGTCAAGCATTAACTACCTCTTTAAAATCGCAAACAACTGTATGCAGCTACTCAAAGTTATCAAGCTTTCATAAGTGACTAAACCATAGGCCAGAAAAAATTGCATGCTAAACCATTATGTGAAAATGTTTTTCTTCCTAAACTGCAGAACAATTCATAGATAGAATTGGGCATGTAAAAAGTATGTCTAATTGCCTTCAAAACCATCGATCTCAACCATTTCTTTCTTTTGAATACAAAATGAGTTGACTTGACTATGGAAAGAGAATTAGCATTCAACAATTCCCATAGCATTTGGAAGATGGATTCTAACATAGCCACAGTGAAATGCATGTTTAGTGTTACAAAATTTAGCATGTCACACATTGCCTTTGGATACAGAGAAAAAATGATATTCCAAAATGAAAAGGTTGGAAGATGATGCCAATATTATACACTTCAATTCGATGTTAGTCTATTTGAACATGAATTTCCACACTTCCCGTACATTTGAGGAGCCATCAGCAACTTCAGCAAGCAAACAGGCGGTCAATATACCTGGAAAGAAGTTGCAAAGAATTCTTAGTATAGATCAAACAAGATGACAAAGGATGCCGCTATTCGAATATTTATGCATGTCATCCACCCACATTACATTATATGCACATCAAGTACCTGTGATAATTAATTTCATAATATCTGCTACCTGAGACAGATAAAAAACAAATACTCCACACTCTTAACAATTGGAGAAGAGATTCTGCTGGAAGCGTACATTACATCGACATGTAGATATACGTTGCAAACAAATTCTGACACAGATGCTTAATGTTTCTTATTTCTTTTTCTTTTCATGCTGGCATCTGCAGTAAATTGAACATAAATACTACAGATCGGGGCCTATCAACCAGCATAACCATGATCATGAATGAAAACTTTTAGAGGACTGAGGCAAGGAAGAAAATGACAGCAGGATGAAAGAATGCAAGAACATGCTAAAATTCACAGTTTGAACAAAGCATAACTCACCATCTTCTTCGACCAGATTTACAAATTGTCTTGTACCACCACCAACACCAAAATAGTGTTTCTTTCCTGCCATATAGACAACTCCAGATGGGCGGTGCATGCACTGCAATGTATATGATTCTGAGGAGATCATATCGATAGAACTACTTGGAAGCATGATCGACTGAATCTTTTTGAAGGAAAGGCACTAACCCTTTTAATAAGCTCATAAAGACAATGAAGGGAGGACAGTGCATACACAGTTTCTGCCATCAGAATAACATCATAACCATCACATGACTTTTCCTCTAAACCACCATTTGTTGCTTTTCGTTGGTCAGCGCTACAAACATAGGGGAGCAGCTGATGAATTTCATTCCAATCACCAGCAAAAAAACGAACATCAGCGGTGATGCTGGTTGATGTCTTGCTTGTAAGCAGTGGCTGTTGTTGGTTCAACTCTTTCTTTAGGTTCACTGTCACATTTGGTATGGTTAGACTACGAAGCACCTCAGCATTGAAATCTTGGAAGTGGATAACTGCTGCACCCTGAAATACTAAAAAGTTGAGAAATTGCAACAGATATCATAGGTATCATAGCTGCTGAGGCAGAGAGCATACCTTGAGGCCTGCAAAGATCCCTGGTAGGCCATGTCCACATCCAAGCTGAAAGATGACCCAAGGATTAGCGGCAAACGTGAAACAAATGGTTAAACGTACTTATTAGCATAACTACAACAAAGTACTGAGCCCACCCAAGAACAAACTGTCATGGTTTTCACAATTTTGAGGCCAGGAAAAAGTATATCTATTTGCATTAATGAAGAACAGGCAACCAATACGAAAATTTGACCCGATACCAACAATAGAAACAACTCAAGAATAAGAAAGACAACCTGTAAAATTCAAAACACATTAACTACTTTCTTGCACTAATCATAAAATCTCCCGGTAACTAAAAGGCAGATAAATGAACATTAAGTGTGAATGTTTAAAACACTCAAGAGATTGGTTGGTATCTGAGAAACAACAAAGTTGTTTAATATAATATTATAAACCAAAGACTGTGATATCAGAAGTGACTCTTTTGTCCACAGAAAATGAGGAACATGTTATTGCTAATATCAGGAAATACAGTTATGCATACCACTCATAGATTACCAACAAACCATCACCTTTGATACCCAAAGAACTTCCATTATGGATGTCATAATTTCTATAGAAACTTATCAGGAAACATTGAAAAAGAAGAACTGTTATCTGCACCTGCTTTATAGGAACCTTCTGACATTGAATATTTTCATTCTGATATGTGTCTATTAACATCAACTAGAATGATTTAATACAGATGCTAGTAGCCAACCGATGCCTCAAGATGAAACCAGGCACATGCATGTGTTTATTAAGTAAGTTTTTATGTGTTAATTGTAATGATAAGTGTACCAAGACATCAGGATTTCCTTCGGAAAGCACAAGAAATAGTGATGGTTATGAGGCAAATAGTTCCCGAAAACAAATGGAACTAAGCATGCACATCGGTATTGGTTCAAAGGAAAAAAAACTCAAACCTAATGTAACATAATTGATTGCAAGACAATGAGTCCCTAATTACCATGGCATATTACATTCTAGAGAGCACAAATATCACCCGGGGATCAAGCAACCGACCTCTAAAACTCGCTTTCCACGGAGCATCAGCACGCCTTCTTCAATCTCCGAATGCAATTTTTTGACAAGGTCAAGTGAGCCTTCCCACAGCTTCAGCCCCCCTGGCAAGAGCAGTAAAACCAATTTCTCTCTTAGCCACATCCTTGATTCCATTTAGCCAACATCAGCAAGTAGAAGGAAGAAGAGCAAAGGGAAAACGGTTGCACCTTCATACTTTCCTGGGACCAAATCCGAGTTGGCCACCCCGAACACATCAAAAGTGCTAACTCTTCCCTACAAGAGGATCAAAGACAGGAAGTTAAAGCAAATAAAAAGATGGAAAATGCTTGATACGCGCGGTGAAAACGATTACCTTAAGAAGGGTAAGGCCGTCGTCGATGACGATAGGCTCTACCTTCGATTTCGGCTCCGACGATTCCTGGAAGGAATAAAATGAAGGATTTTTTAGGGGAAAAACATCGGGTTATAGAGAGGTCGAGAGATGAGGCAGAGAGAGTTACCTCCTCGCAGGGGAGCACTTCCACGGCAGGTGGCGGTGGAGGAAGGGGGTCCTTGGAAGGAGCGGGTGGCCCAAATCCAAGGCTGGAAAGAGAGAAGCGAGGGTACGATTGCTGCGGGAGAAGAGTCGCAGTGAAGTAAAACAGAGAGATCAAGAAAGGTGGGAGAAGGGAAAGGTAAGGAGTAAAAGAGACGATGACAGAAGTGTGAGAGGGGCAATACCTCCGCCTTGGCGGGGTTCGGGACGTTGCTCTTCTGCATGGCGGATGCTAAGCGACGAGGGAGGAGGGACGGTGACGGCGGCGGCGAAGGGGATCGCGAAGTGGCCGCGGGAGACGGTCTTCACTAAGGGTCGGGTCGGGTCGGGTTACCTTTAAATGATCCAATAAAGCCCAATTCGGGCCCAACCCAAAGTCTTGCGTTCTGTTTGCTTCTATCTACTTCGCGTTCGGGTTGTTGTGAAGCCGATGGGACAGAGACAGGTTAGCGGAAGAGGGTAGAGAGCGGTTCTCTTATCTCTCTCTCTCTCTCTCTCTCCGTCTCCCACCCCCCGCGCCCGCCCCTCTTTGTGTGGCTTCCTAGGGTTTCGTCTTCGATCGATCCGTCCTGTCGATCGCGGTCTTCCCGGAATCAATGGCGAGGAAGCGGAAAACGGAGGCGACGCGACTCGATGAGGTGGATCGCACGCTGTATTCGACCTTCTGCAGCGCGGCCAACTCGCTCTCGCAGCTGTACACGCAGGCCATGAACCAGCAGAAGATATCCTTCCAGGCCGGGGAGCGCCATGCCCTGGTTAGGTCCTCTCTTTGCCCCCCCGCCTTGTCCCCTTTCTCCCATCCTTATCTATTTCCAAGGCTTCGTCGTTTGTTGCTTTGTTTTCCTTGTTTTGAAGTCGACGATTAGTTTTATGGCTTCTTATTCTTTCTTGCATATAATCATATGATGCAGGACTAATTACATATTATCCCTGAAGTTAGTTATGTTTAGCGTTTCGATCCTCATACTTTCTTATACTTAAAAAAATTATATTGATATCTTTATAGTTACGAAAGTGAAACATCTAAGTCTAGGTCTATTTACCCTAGCTACAATAATTTTACCAACGGAAACACGAAAACAAAAGATAAAAATATAATTTTAATGTTTGGTGGTAGATGGTAATGTTGCTAGCGTTGACTCCAATGCAGTTGCCTGGCCACATTCGACGATAACAAGGTTTGCCCTCATCGCGACGCCACCCGCCTTCACGAGGAGCGCACTGTCCACTTCATCGTCGCTCGTCCCACGTTGCTCTGCATCTGTGTCGATGTTAACGCAGTTATCGAGTGTTATCTGTGTCAATGCTGATGCATGACAACTGCGATGGCGTCGACGTAAATGGTGGTGGTCGCTGTGACGTCTACAGCGAAGATGGTGGCTGCCTCATCGCTGACCCGTTGGGTGAATCCTAGCCTCAACCCAAAGCTGGGGTCGTCGGAGCTCCTGCTGTGTTAGTTTTGACACCACCTCTCGCTGATCTACCCTTTTGCTGCTCTGCATTTGCGTCGGTGTTGACGCAGTTGCTGAGCGGCGAAATGGTTGCTCGACAAAAGGTGGTGTCAGAATTGATGCTAGAACGGGGGAAGCGGCAAGAGCTTCAGTGACCCTAGCTTCGGGTTGGATTCGCCCAACAGGTCAGCGGCGAGGTGGCCACCATCTTCGCTATAGACGCTGCGACGACCACCACCATTTGTGTTGACGCCGATGTAGTTACTGCTGGGCAACTGCGTTAGCATCAACGCAGATGTAGAGCGGCGCGAGATGGGCAACAATGAGGCCAGCGAAGCGCTCCTCGTGGAGGCGGGTGGTGTCACGGGTGAGAGCGGACCTTATCGTTGTCGGAGGTGGCCGAGACACTTAAGGTAGCCAACTACAGGGGGTAATATGTAATTAGCCCTATGATACAGTAGTGTTTTGATGTTGCAATACACTAATAGATTGATTTTGGTGTCAACGCACATTACAATAAAAGCACACGATAACTATTAAGTTATTCAACGATTTGGCAACCTATACATGCTTAACTTTTAGTTTGTTCTTTTCAATTTTATAGTTGACAAATCCTAATGATTGAAAACTTTTGAGGCCAGTTGCTAAGAAACTTCAATTAGAGGGTGATGACAATTAAGTACCAAGAGAATATAAAGGTATCAAATTACAAAGCTTTTTCAGGTTGATTTCAGTGAACAAAATTTTATATTTTAAAGTATTTCAAAATGAGCATATGCCTCGAGTTTTGAACTAGAAGTTGTGATGTATTTAAGCATTTGGCAGTTCATGCTCCTTCACTGTCATGTTATGTGTGATTATAGTCATTTATCACCATCGGTCAAGATGCACCTCTTGTTAGTGTTAACTAGATGCCCTATGATGGTTTTGCATTTTTCCTGAAGTTGTTTAGTTGTTGAGTTGATTAATAGGTCGCTTGTATCATTCATTAACATGTTAGGCAAAATTTCACATATCCCTTGGGAATGGGTGTTTCTGAAATTTTCCTTTGTATATCAAAATTAATTGTTCATTTGTTGCTAAAAAATTACTTAAATATTTCTTGTCAGGGCACCTTGTTTCATTATCTCAAGGTCTTGATTCAAGATATCCACATATTAAATTACGTCCAAGTTGTCATAATATAACCCAACATTTTATATAGTGATTAGTCTTGGAACCATTTATTGTAATGCAGTCATCGATTAAGATCCTTTCTTGATAGTATGTCTAAGAAGGTCAACTCCATCCAGAGGGCAAAGGACATAACAATCAAGCTAGTCATAATGTTGTGATGGATGCTTTCCATAATCGAGTAGCAAGAGGTCTGAGCATTGAATTCTAGCACCAGATTATGGGGTTACGAAGTTGGATTTGGTGGATCAAGGTGATCTCAATGATGAGATTTACGTAACTAAAGAGACATGATTCAGGCTAAAGTTTCATATACTTTGGGTGTCAAAATAAGATCTTTTTCTTAATCAAAGAGTGAAGAGGATGTTTTTAGCTTCTATCAATTAAAAAAGATGGTATTGGCTGGTTAATTGACCTTATGAAGGACATGCATCGAGTCCAGGTACACGTTACTTCTACCAACAAAAAAGGATGTTCTTGCCTTCTTGGCTGGTAGATTTACCTTAGGAAGCACATGCATCAAGTGCAGATACATTGTTATCCTCTTTTTTCTTCTTGTAATGTTTACTTATTTTTTCGTCTCTTTCTTTTTTTTTTCTCTTGTATCATCTTTTTCCTTATAATCTATTGACATTCTTTGGTGCTGGTGGACCAATTAGTATCATCTTTATGTCCCACTTTCAGCCAACCCCACACCAGATGGCGGTCCCTCTTTTGTGTATACAAGTGGGAACGATGATTGAGTTTTTTTGTGTGTCCTTGATATTGCCTTCTCTATTTGAAGTCTTATGCAACTCCTCTGAATTTGATATGTCTTAACCACTTGTGTACTTCTTTTTTGTTGTACGTTATGCAGGAGAAGCTTTATGAATGGATCTTGAGAAAACACGAGGAAGGGGGACGGGTTACAGTTGCTGATATAGTTACCCATATGCAGGTTCTATTATATTGATTGTTTTCTCTTTTATATACATCTTTTTTTCCATTTTGTTTCTCTATATTATTTGCATCAGCAACATCAAGAATTATCTTCTTGTTCCTTTTTGTTTTTATATATTCAAATTTGTAATTTAGTGCATACTTTGATTATGTTTAAGATTGCAATTTGATGTACATTAGCTCCTTTCTCATAATAGGATTTGGACTCTGTTTCATTGTTTTATTACCAAAATAGATGCTGGTTTTTCATTGCCATGAACTTTTTGTGAACTAATATATGCTCTTTGCTATGCTTGTCAATATAAAAATGTATCTAGCTTCTTTTCTATATGTCGTGCATAATTACACCATTTGTTGCTTTTGAACTGACTTATGAAATCAATTTTGTTCTTTCATAAACGAGCCTTTTGGGTTGATTTCAGAGAACAGAAATTTTATATTTTAAAGGATTCATAAATGAGCATATGCCTTAGTTTTGAAGTGGAAGTTGTGCTGTCTTTAAGTATTTGGCAGTTCATTCTCCTTCACTGTGTGTGATTATAGTCAATCATTTATCACCATTGTTCAAGATGCACCTCTTGTTAGTGTTAACTTGAAGCCCTATGATGGTTTTGCGTTATTCCCAAAGTTGTTTAATCCTTGAGTTGATTAATAGGTTGCTTATATTATTCATTAACATGTTAGGCAAATTTTCACATATATCGCTTGAAAATTGGTGTTTTTGAATTTATCCTCTGAAATATTAAAATAAAGCGTTCATTGGTGCTCAAAAAAAAATTACTTATATATTTCTTGTCAGGGCGGCTTATTTCACTATCTCAAGGGCACGATTCAAGATATCCAGCCATCTGAAGGATCACAGATTAAATTAGCTCCAAGTCATCATAATATAACCCAACATTTTCTTGATGTTAGATATTATCTTGCATGAAATTTTTTCTGTGCTCAATATGTGTGTGTGAATTGGAGTGCGATACCTAGGCGATTTTACTGAAGTGATAGATCTGACTGGTTTGATATGTTTGTTGGGATCTTTTAATTAATAGCAAAATCAGGTCATTTGTGAGTTTTATGTTTCAAAATTTCTTTATAGCTACATTAGTAAGTGGCAGAGGTTATGGGAGTTTGCTTATTTGATACAAGTAGCAATACTACTAAATTTTTTTATGCTCAACAATCACATTATCTTGCCGTAAGCAGTGCCCTTTTTATTCCTTTTCTCACACTACAGTGAAATGAAACATGTATATATACCCTCAGTGCTGTCTATATCTAATTTTAGCAATATAAAATACAAAGAATACCTATTTGTTTACTTGGTACTTATTTTCTCAGAGTGAGATGGATTATGCTGGAGAAGATGCATTAGTCTCCCCAAGATCACCATTCCAACATCAATCAACAATGCATGTTACAAACTCTGGCATCCAACCAACGTCTGGTATATTCGGGCAGCCAACAGTCGGACTTGCCCCTCGTAGCGGTCACTCTGATCAAGCCAAAAACTCTGTTTTCTCAAATGCTCTTTCCAGCCCTGTACGCAGGAGCCTTCAGCCATATCATTTTGCTCAGGGAGGTGGGTTTTATGGAAATGGTGTCCTCCCAACTGGGAATGCAGAATCTAGGAACGACCATGGTCCAAATGAAAACCGTGGTACAAATTCTCTTGGTTCCAATGATTCATCCATGGACATTCACACCGATAGCCGGCCTCATGAATCTTATTGACAACTCTACCAACCTCATGCATATCTAGTTCAACCACTGCAGCCTCAAATCTCTGATCTGCAACATCCAAGTAAGATATATCAATAAGGGCTGAGTTCTGAAGATGAGCTCTCCGCCTGTCCTGCTACATGATGCATCTGGCAATTGGTGCTGGCTATATTATAAATCGTGTGCCATTATTTGCTCGTTACTCTATTGATCTAGTCATCTTTTTTTTTTTTTTTTTTTTTTTTTTTTTTTAAATGGACTCGCTATATATGTTGTCAGGTGTGAGATTTATTTTTGAGTCTGGTAATTGCTTTGTACATGAATGGGAGATTCATGTACAAGATGGATGTATGTTGTTAATAATTGATGGCTTGCTATTTCACTTTAGCATTCTGAAGTTGGAGTGTGATACGATTGGTACTCTTTTGCGTACACACTTTCGGGTAGACCATAGAGTCTCTTTCCTCTTCATAATTGTAGTTTATGCTAATAATAAACATAGGGGTTTTTTTTTATATATCTAGGTTGAATTTTTTGAAAATAATTTATCTTTGATAAATTCTTGTAAAGTTTCTCAAGTTTAAATTTTTTTTAAGGAGTATTTTTATAAAATAATCATTTTGCCATTAATCTGTCTTCATTTTTCATCACTTTCCTTTTCCATTGTCTTATCGAATCTATTATCTTCTTTTACCCCTGTTTAGTGGGCAATTACGATGACATTGTCGAACCCTTCATAACATGTCTCCTTCCTCGTGAGAGGGTGGTGAGGGTTGTTATTTCTTCATAAATCTCGTTGAATCCTCTATTCGAGGGTCATTTTTACTGTATCTCTTGAAAATTGATTTATTTCATAAAAAGTGCTTTGTGAGAGTTATTGAAAATTAAAGTGCTCTAACAAAAATTTCTCAAAAATAAAAACTTTTTTCAAGAATTTGCTTTTCAAAATTTGTCAATAATATATTTATCTCAACAAAATTTAATATATATATGCCTAGTAATATTTAGATTGTGATTTTTATCAATATATAAAGGCTCCAGTTATCTTATGGTATGGGACCCGTCGACAGCCCGATCAAAAACGAGCGAATCACGTGCGTGGAATGATCGTGGCCATTCGATCGCGCCACGACTGATGATGGTGAATCCACCGTGTCCTCTAGGGCATTTTTGTCAAAAAAGCCACGCCGCGCCGATTCACTGAAGCCGCTCCATTCCCGCTCCCAAAGGAGGGCGGCAAACTCCAACCGAAAACAATGGTGGTTCGCTCAAACCAACAAAACCCTCCTCCGGCCTTGCTTCCCTTCCCCCATTAAATCTCCCTCCCCAACCCCATTCATCCCTTGAGATCCGTCCGAGAAACCCACTTGGAGTCTCTCCTTCCAGCTTTCAGGTCACGATCCCGGTCCCATGGTCCCCCCCGGAGTCATGGCCTGGGCGGCCTTCATCGTCCTCGTCGTCTCCGCGGCGGTGCTCCCCTCTCCTGCAACCGCCGATGGCGTCGGCGTCAACTGGGGCACCATGATGTCCCACCCGATGCTTCCGACCACGGTGGTCCAGATGCTCAAGGACAACGGGATCAGGAAGGTGAAGCTGTTCGACGCCGACCCCTGGACCGTGGGCGCCCTCGCCGGGACCGCCATCGAGGTCATGCTCGCCATCCCTAATGACCAGCTCCAGCGCATGTGCAAGCACAAGCACGCCGCCGAGTGGGTGAAGGAGAACGTCACCCAATACGACCATGAAGGCGGTGTTCATATCAAGTAATTGCGAGCAAGTCGACTGTTTTTGTGCTTGTGTGTGAGATTGTGCTCAAGATCGTCTTTCTTATCGAACATCACAAACTGTTCGATCAAAGGCCTGCCGTCAAGCGCTAATGTTCCTTGCAATTTATGACCGTATACAGGTATGTGGCTGTAGGGAACGAGCCCTTTCTCAAGAGTTACAATGGCTCCTTCATCAACTCCACGTTCCCTGCGCTCAAAAACGTCCAAAGTGCTCTCGACGAGGCCGGAGTCGGTGACCGGATCAAGGCCGTCGTGCCCTTGAACGCAGACGTCTACTTCTCCCCTGCCAATGACCCTGTTCCATCCGCAGGAAGCTTCCGCAAGGACATCGAGGAGCTAATGGTCGACATCGTCCGCTTCCTCAACTCCAACGGCGCGCCTTTTGTGGTCAACATTTACCCGTTCCTTAGCCTCAACCAAAACCCCAACTTCCCCGTCGAGTTTGCTTTCTTCGACGGCGGAAGCCAGCCGGTCACCGACAAAGGGGCCCAGTACACGAATGTGTTCGACGCGAACTACGACACCCTGGTTTGGTCCGTGAAGAAGGCGGGTGTGCCGGACATGAAGATCACGATCGGGGAGATTGGGTGGCCAACCGACGGCGTCAAGAACGCAAACGTAGACTACGCCAAGAGGTTCTTTGATGGGTTCTCGAGGAAGATGGCAAAGAAGGAGGGCACGCCGCTGCGGCCCGGGCCACTCGACTTCTACCTGTTCGGCTTGCTCGACGAGGACATGAAGAGCGTGCTTCCGGGGAACTTCGAGCGCCACTGGGGCATCTTCACGTTCGACGGGAAGCCCAAGTTCCCGATGGACTTATCGGGCAAGGGGAAAGACGAGTACCTGGTCGGCGCCAAGGGAGTGCAGCACCTACCGGCGCAGTGGTGCGTGCTGAACGTGGAGGATCGCGGCAACTTCAGATCGATACCTTCGAGCGTGAACTATGCCTGTGCCAACGCCGACTGCACGGCGTTGGGGTATGGCTCCTCGTGCAATGGGCTGAGCTCCGAAGGCAACGTCTCCTACGCATTCAACAGCTACTTCCAGACCATGGATCAGGACGTCAGGGCGTGCAACTTCGATGGGTTAGCGACGATCGTGACCACAAACATGTCGACGGGGAGCTGCCTGTTCCCGGTGCAGATACTTAGCAACGCACAGAAGACAGCAGCGCTGAGCTTCATGGCCTTGCTGATGACAGTGGCTGCAGCGGGGCTTGCATAGAAGAGGGGAGCCATCGATCCATCTTTACCTCGCAAACAAGAACACAGGAGCTTGATGGGTTAAGTGCTGGAGATACGAAGCCCGAGGTACACTCGAACTGTCGTGCCATTTTTGACTCTCTGTCATCCAAAAAGCTGGAGATCAGAGTCCCTTTACCTTCGAAATCGGTGGAGGACATATTTCTCGATGCCTCCAACCCGAATCTCAACGAATTTTAATGCATACTTTGGGTAATTCCGTGAAACACAACTCTCTTCTTGCAAATATAAATGGAACGTTGTTCTGATGGGAAATTGTTCAATTTTTAACTCGAAATCTAACAATTTAAAGCAAAGGCATTTAATTTCAATTTGATTATTCATAGAAATATCTTAGGATACTTTCCATAAAAACACATAATTTCCTACTTTTTAAATTCGATTCTATTATTCCATTAGTCGAAGGTGCTAAAGAAGAATATATTGTTCTTGCCCTCACCAATGTTCCATTTCCTTTAGGTACATAGAACCTTTTAACCACACGTAGAACATTAGGTTAGTTCATAGTAGTAAACAAAATGGGAATAGGATTAGTTATTACAAATATGACTTGCAGTGAACTCGATTTGTAAATCAACGTATATGCCACATTGAGCCTCTTTTACTTACTAAATGTTCAGTAAATATCTTGCTTTTGTTTTTAGCAGTTTTGGTGTTAAAAGTAATGCTAAATTTGTCTTGGAACGAGGGACAAATTCCAGATCGTATTTATCATGGCAGGTTGACGTCGTTGACTTCTCATGGAAAGTTGACCGCCAAGCCAAACGTAAACGTCAAGAACATAATTTGCAACAAAGCCCAAATTTGATCGAATTGCTTGCTTCGTATTCATAAAGAGATCCGATAACCCGATAATTCTGTTATGCAAACGATGCTCCGCCTTGGCTCCCTCCAGGTTTGTCTTCTTGCTATGTCGTGCTTCCTAACGGGTCGGATTGGTCCCGACACCCTCACTGCTGTTATTCGTACCCCATTTCATGGAGTAGTTCCGCCACAACCCATCACGCGAACCGGCGCCCCTACACGCACCGGCAATGGCAGAAAACAGGCGTCCGCTTATCAAGCCCTAGGTTAAAGATCGAAGCCCACCCTCTCTCCCCGCGACGCTCTCCTTCGCAACCCCTTTCCCCTCGTCTGATCCGCCGAAGTCCGCTCCCTGCTCCTCCGAATCGCAGCGCCGGAACGCCATTCCGCAGGTTGGAATCTCTCTCTCACTCTCGTTTGCTTCTTTTTGTCTTCTCCTCCTCCTCTTCTCCGCCCCGTCTCTTCTCTTCGTTCTGCCGCTATCTCGCCCTTCTCGCTCTGTTTCCCCCTCTCTCTTCTCTGCACTTCCAATCTGCCATCTTTTTCTCTCATTCTTTGTGCGTTGGGGTCGTTCTTTCTTGGTTGGGATTTGGGGATTTTTGCAGGGCCACTACTGCTCGGGGGAAAGGGGGGACTAGGGCTCGAGGCCGGCCGGATTGGGCGCTTCCGGGTCGGATCTATTAGACTTTTACCCGAGAAGGATATCGGATCCGTGTTTTAGTTTTATGAAATTCTTAACGGGTCCTCTCATTCCTGACTTATTATTAGTTTTTCCATCCCGTAAGCGACACTCCGGCTGCAGTCAAACAGCTGATCTCAGCCGTCTGATGACGCGTCGACGGTTGATGTGAGATCTGTGACGCCAGCTGCAGCTCGAGGAGTCCCGACTCCTTTAATAGACCTCTCATCAGCTCGATGCCCTTTTCGATCTCTGCATCCCCTTTCTCGCTTCCTCGCGTCCCCTCGTCTATCTTCTCTACCTTCGGCTTCGCTCGCCCGGTGAAACCCTAATCCTTCCCCCTCCCTCCTCCCACCCTCCTCACTGGCGTGGCAGCGTACCTTTCTTGATCCGCCGTCGTCCTTCCTCGTGACGCTTCTCGTTGCGGTCTTCTTGATGATCGGCATCTCTCTCGTGCTCGGCGTCCGGCTTCCCCAGCGCGTCGTTGTCGGAAGGCTAGCGGCGGGGCGTTTTTTGTTTTTTTCCGCAGTGGTGAGTAGCTGAATCGGAACACGGCTTCGATCGTTGTATTTGGTGCCGATTGCTGCCACTGAGGCTTGAACTGAACTTTCCTCCCCGTCGTCTTCAAGATTTTTGGTCTCTCGGTCTGTTACGGTTGTGTGCATTTTCTTGGTAGCCTTCCTTGTTTCTTGGCTAAAAATGCGATGCCTCCATGTTTATGAAATCAAGAAAATTTTTGAAAGCAAATTTTGGTGAAATTTCGTGTACTCATGTCATTTTTTTGTTTAAATTAATTTTCAAAGACTTTCTTGAAATTCTAGTTCTCTTTACAAATGTTCTTCTATTCTTTTTCTTCTATTTATCATTTTTTGATTTTTCTGTATTTGTTGCCTCTCGTTCTTTTATTGTTTTATTTGTTTTCTTGAAAGATTGACCGCCTTGTTTGCGATCGTTGTTTTATTTTTTTTTGTTGACCCATATGATAAGTAATTGGTTCGGGTTTGCGTCTATGGAAAGGTTGTTCGATTTGCCACCTTGGCATCATGAGTTCGAAGCGGTAGGCCGTGTAACATTTGATCGTCCCCAAGATCATGCGGCAAGATGCTCTTGTATCTTATTTTTTCATTTTACTTGGTCTCTGAATGTTTTGGTCTTTTGTTTCCATTGACTCTTGATTCAGTTTCTTCCTTGGTCTGGTCTGAATTTGCATCCATGTGAAAAAGGAAGTGTCGATGTGGTATGTAGAAATGATTGCGTTCCTGAACTTTTGAAAATAAGTGGAGATGAATCATTTCCCAATTGGAGATGTGAGACCTAAGAGAATCCTTGTAACCTTTAGAAGGAAGAATGTGGTAATCAATTTTCAAGAAAATTTCAGAAATATCGTTGATCTTCCATGTGTTAGACAGGTCTCATTGCATAGTGTCAAAGTCATTTTCAACCAGTGATGGTAGTGCAGCACCTATAACCAATGCTGCTAAAGGACACAAAAATTATTGGCTTTAGCAGGACTGATAGACTTGTTAGCAAGATCTTTCAGAGACAGATCATTGACATCATAAGAACATTCGACATAAAAAATTGTCGAGGAGCAATACTAAAGAAATCTTACTGGCTGTTGATTGCCTCCTGTTTAATCATATCATTGCTATCATCGCATTTATCAAAGTTGTGGCATTTGTGGAAGCATGATAGAGAACATCACACGGTATTGAGTTAATGGATATTGATGTCCATTGATCAGACAGTCAAAGTTTTGATACAAAAACAGTGTTTAGCCTACTTAATGTGTCAATTAGATGTCACAAAAGCAATTGAATGGCCATATGCTGTTTATACAATTAAGCAATATCTATGGTGCCGAACCAAAAAGTCTATAGCCTATGTCGGTCATGGTGTGAGCCTAGATGGATGCTTGAGTTGCTATGAAAGTTTTTATCTACTGGATTTGATGTGGTTAAAACTTTTTTTACCATTTCATTTTGTTAATCTTATGATACTTGCATAATTCTTTAAATCTATTTACCCTTTTAGTTGGCGCATGGATTAGTTGATGGTTGACTGCTTAGCATATATTGTGAATTGAATGGTTTATTGTGAATTAGCAAACTTTGCTTATGCAAGTACATCAAAAATTTTGAACCTCTTGCTTACCAAAACTCATGCTTTTACCAGCCAACGAATATGCTGCCTGCAGTTTTCTAGGGATAAAGATTTTTGATCTCATAAAAACGTCCATTTTGGACGTTCAAGATCAGGTATACAATCTCTTCATCTGAACATTACTTTTGCCAGTAAGTACCTCAGAATTTGTTCTGAGATAGTGTGATGATAGTGCTGATTTATTACATCATCATTGAATTCATAACTCTTGGTAGCCGCTCATGATCAGTGTTGCTTTGTTCTCGTCAGCTCATGATAAAAAAACATAATAAGGCAAAACTTGTTAATCATTTCGACTGCCACAAAGCCTATCTTGCTGGTTTCATTTGTAAGTGTCTTCACAACTGTCCATGTTCTTTAAAATTTCATTCACAAAAGTATTAAGTGAGTTAACTTTGATCTCCCTTTTCCCTTTGTTTTTAGTAGTAATATATTTTGTCCCTTAATAATATTTAGATACCACAACTGACCATGGTTTCCTAATTGTCTGTCATGTTCTTTGATATTTTCCTATCATGGACTCGTGGAGACATTAATGATTTTTAGATACCACAACTGACATGGTTTCCTAATTTTCTGTCATGTTCTTTTGATATTTTCCTATCATGGACTGGTGGAAACATTCTGCAGTATATGCCTTTACTGTTTGTTATTTTTGTAGGAGATTTCCTCTCAAACTTTTCACCAATATGTACTTGCATTTACAAAGACGAGCTTGGTGATGCTCCCTGTGGATATCTTTTGATTGCTTTTATGAAAAATAAAATAGCATTTTTTAGTTGGTTGCTTGTTTGTAAAGCATGTTGGTTGTGTAAATTTGTGGAATATTTACTCTCTTTATCTAAAATTGTTTCCTTTTCTAACCTTATATTATTGATGGATATGATTCTGTAGTAGCTGATATAATTTTTTTAAAAAATTGCCAAAGCTAGTACTTAGCACCTTATGGCGCATAACCTTGATAACCTTGGTAGAATTAGGAACTTCTCCCACTTTGGGGGAACTAAATCTGCTTTATTTTTTTAGTCTGGTCTCTTTTTGACTGTTGTTAGTGATAAATTTCATGAATGAATGAATAGTTTCTTAAAGAATAAAAAAACACATATTGAAATTGTCAACTTGTACCTATTTGTGAATTTGGAAGGCTTAATTTTAAAATGCATGAATGATAATTCTTCTTGTGGGGTTCATTAAAGTCAAATACCTGCCTCTTATACAAGGTCCTTGTTTTTTATTAGTTCACGGGCAAACTTGTCACTAACTTGAGGAATTTGTGCCAGACAGATATCTTAAATCATGAAGTAAGTATTTACAAGAAAACGCTATCATGGCCTCAAAGGGTCCCAGATCGAAGTTAGACCATGAGACAAGAGCTCGGCGTCAAAAGGTTAGCTTCTGAAGCTTTTAATCAGC